GGGGGCTCCCTGGAGGACGTGAGCCGGGGCTGGGACCCCGGGGAGAGGGGCAGCGGTGATGGCTCAGCAGCCGACATGCCGTACTTCGAGCTTCAGTCGTCGGGGAACTCTGGTTCTGGCCCGGGCCCTGCCTCTCAGCACCCCCCGACCCCGGCCCATTCCTTCCCTGACTCGTATGAGGATGGCCTCGAGCTGCCTGATGTTGATGACTCGAGGCTGCTGGAGGAGGAGGAGCGTGGGGAAGGGATCTTGCCCTCTGTCAGCGGATCGTCCCCCTCAGCCCTCCCCCTGCTGCTGACCTCCCCCCACCTCCTGTGCGCCTTGCTGGCCCTGCTGGTGGCTTCGTGTCCCAGCTCACTGCTGCTGTTCTTCCTCCTGGTCATTCTACTGGCCCTTTCTCGGCGTGGCTCCCCGAGCCGCCTGGGTTCGCTGCTTCTGGCCCTCGAGACGGTGGTGGTGGGCCTGGCCACCTCTTACGTGCTGCTCCACCTGGTCTTCGCTGTGTCCACCTCCTCTTTCCTGCTGCTGGTCAGGACGGTCAGCGCTCTGAGCATCCTGGCTCTGAGCTTCCGCCTCTCGCTCTACTATGTCCCCGTGGCCCTGGGGGCTGCCTATTTCTTCACCGCCCCGGGCCTCTTCCTGTCGCTGTACCTGGTCATCGTGCTTGTGCTGCAGCCTGCACGCCGATGGGCATCCGCGCTGCCCAGGAAAGGCCGCAGGCTCTGGGTCAGGCTCCTACTGCGACTGCCCAGGCCCATCTTCCAGGTGGCCCAGCGGTGTGGCCTGGCCAACGAGAGGAGCCTGTTCTCAGTCTTCCCCAAAGCTAACCGGGGTCTGTCCCGCAGTAGGTTGCCCATCCGGATCCGAGGGCGCCCCCCTGTCCGGAGGAGGGGCCTGGCGCTGGGCCTAGGCCTGGGCCTGTCCAAGATGGCTGCACTCGCCAACTCCCGGCTCTCCGGCCTGCTGTCCAGCCTGGCCCTCCGCCTTCCCTCCCCGGCCCTCCGCTGCCTGAGGCAGGCGGGCCTGCTGACGCCCAGCAAACCCAGTCGCATCCCGTTACTGCTGCCCAGGGAACAGCGCAAGGCTAGGCCCAGGCCTCGGCCTGGGGTCCGGCTCCGGGCAGGGTCCAGGGGGCGTGCCCGAAACACTCAATCTCTCCGACGTTCAGGCATCTGGATCCCTTAGGAAGCGGGTACGGAGGGGGAGAAAAGAGGGAGTGACTAGACCCTGGGTGGGATCGACTGATCCACGGGAGGGAGGACCCTGGGTGGGATCGACTGATCCACGGGAGGGAGGACCCTGGGTGGGATCGACTGATCCACGGGAGGACCCTGGGTGGGATCGACTGATCCACGGGAGGGAGAGAAGAGAGTGTCACCGGTCCCTGGGCGGGATAGGTTCTTATTTTGAAGCTGCCTCCCGCTCACTCCAGGGAGATTTCCCCCCCCCACCCCACCCTGACCCTCGACCCCTGACACTGAGGAGCTGTCTCTGGCCCTGGGACCAGGGAGTGGGAGGTGTCTGGGAGCCGGGCTCTGTTTTCTGTCCCTGTTTACAGTTGAATATTTTTTTTTTTGTTGTTCCATCATTAAATGATTATTTTCTTGCTTGTGTTCTTTGTGAATTCTGTATCTTTTTGTTTCTGTTGAGATTTCTGTTTTGGTGATTTTTTTTTAAATTAAATAAACGTTCTCAGATTTGTTTAAGCTCCATGTGACATCAGATTTTGTTTCATTTAAAACAGCTTTCTTAGTGGGGAGGGGTCTGAGGGTGAACTGGGGAGCTGGGTGGGGGAAAAGGAGCGGGCAAGGGGAGAGAGAGTGGGGAAGGGGCAGGTGGGGCTGAGGGAGATCTGTGAAGAGGGGTAAAAGAAAGTGGGAGAGGTGCGAAAGAGTGGTCCATTAGGATCCGGAATTGAGGACAGTGTCTGGAGAGTGTTCACGACCAACACACATTCCAACATTGTGATTCTCCCTGGTGTATGGGAACCTAGCCAGGGTTCCCGCACCTGGTCACCGGCCACTGATCCCTGGGTTAGAGAGGGAGCGAGAAGGGGGGGGGGGGAATCAGCCAGCGTTGCTACTCCTGATCACTGTCCGCTGATCCCTGGGTTAGAAAGAGAGGGGGGAAATCAGACAGGGTTCCTGCTCCTGATCACTGTCCACTGATCCCTGTTTTGGGATTGTTCCAGCACTCACCTCTTGAGGTTATGATCAATATTTTGTTATCCATCTTTCCCTTTCTTCTTTTATATGAACTTCCCCCTCCACTGTCCCCCTCATTTGGG